CAGGGGACGAACCTCCGGCTCAGCTGCGTACAGAAATACAATTCTCGATCTGAAGTTATATTCCGCACAAAATATATATAACTTGTCTTGCAATCGATCCAGTTTCCGGTTTCATTCAAGATTTTCAGACGGGTATTGTGGACGAAGGCTTTGACATCAGGAGTGTTTGTTGTTTCTTGGCTAGACCCAAAGACGGACCACAAGGTAATGCCGACGCCGGACCACAAGCACAAGGTAATGCACTGCTTAAGGTTCTTCTAGTCCCGTTTCCCATGTGTTAATGCTTGGCTCCTTGCTTAATTGATTGCGGCTTAACCGTGTAGAAAACCCCCTAGAAGAAGAACCGCCAGAGCCATATAATTATGGCGCGATTATACTGCCTGAGTGGCCGTCAGAGAATGCTCTCCGTGATAAAAATCGATATTACTTGGTAAGATTGATTGGCACTAGCCTCCCTTTGCTTTTTGCTCATTGACTGCCCCTCCCTTTACGTGGTGTCGTTATGCGTTTGCTTTTGCAGTTGAAGAAATCAGACCTGCAAAAATATGACCAAGTTCGTCTCTACTTGGAAATTGCATTCGTCAAAGCAAATAGAAAGCTTAAAAATGTAAAAAAGGTTTTTTTTTCTTTTTCTCCTTTCAGTCTTTTTGAGCTGCTCTGTTTGTAATGTGTTTCAAACTGTCGTTGCAGCCTGATCTTACCAAATTGTTCATTACAAGGGCAGCTGTGGAAACTAGACAAGAAAACGTGCAGCCTCCATCTGAAAGACTCAAGGCCGTAAACGCAGTGTTCTACATAAAGTACAAGTACCATCCCAACAATGGTCGAGCTCGTAAGGGTGTTCGTATCCACAAGCCTCCCCGTGATCGCATTGCTGTAACAAAAAGAACCCTGGACAAGCATTCGGGACGCATCACTCTCACGTTCGACACTTGTCTTTCAGAAACGTTTCTATAAAGACCTCGGCCAGCACTGGAGGATGGCTCAAGCCCATACTCTGATTACCAAGTTTCTAATAAGTAATTGTGGTCATGCATGTAATAATACATTAATATGTTTATGCTCTCAAATGGCTGTTTGGATTTTGCTATGTGGATTGGTTTTTGGACAATGTGGTATGTGTTTCAAATTGTTGAGTCGGTGGTAACAAGACTCTTAAGTTATCACGTCAACAGGGACTCTGATATTTTTAGATGAGTAGGCATTATGATGCTTCTTTCATGTCAAGGCAAAGTTTTCCTTCTTAATGCGGAGAGGCGTGAGAACAATTACAAAGGCAAAGTTTTCCTTCCTGATGCGGAGAGGCGTGAGAACAGTCACTGAGCCTAGTGCTTCATAGTTGTCCAAATCTAATTCGACTCTACTCATACAAATTGAATTCCTAAATGCAGACGTGCAGATTGAATTCCACTTGAAGTTTCTTACAAAGATCCATGTTACATTCTTCTCATTCAATAACACTTTTTCATTGATCGATTCGATATAATCAAATTGTATACAACTTTTCTATAATTATTTCTGATTTCAGTCCTCAATTTTCATATATTATTATCTATGATTACAGTAATAATCATTTCACAACAAAGATCCATGTTACATTGTTCTCATTCAGTAACACTTTTTGAATGAGAACAAGATTTCCACCGCTCTCGAAGTGAACAATTCCAACATATATGCTCCACCAAAAGACGCGCTAAAAGTGCTAAAAGAGCGGTCTTGGATCAGTGAAACAAACACCTCTGATGAAACTTTCAAATCGTTATATAGTGCAATCCTTCTTATATATAGTGAAACATGCGTTATATAAGAAACCATTGTCAAATCGGCATAAAACCGGTACACCCAAAAACAAAATCAAATCTAAGAGGTTTCATCTCCTATTCCTAAATGATGAAACTTGAGTCTAATTTTCATTTATCTGTAAGCTTAGAAACTTACAGAACGCTCCATGGAAACAGAAACTTGAGTCAAGTATCTCTCAACAGCAGCCATGGAACGGAATTTGATTCCCCGTTCCTGGCTCAATGTAAGTCTGCAAAAAACAATATTAGTAGTTTGGCAAACCGGGACCATAAACACAGACCATATATAACCAAAGCCACAGAACAAACTCTTCACAAGTCTGTAAGTTTTTCTTGTCTTCCTTGGTTTTTACGCAGCAATAATGGTTCAACATTTGCTTGACGAATATAGACAGAACAAGTTCCCGAGATGAGAAGGAAATTTACGAGAAGCAAAAGAGCTTCGGAATATATCAACAAACTCTGCTTTCAAGCCACCAAAGTGAGTGAAGGTTAACCTCTTTTTCTTTAAATATTTTGCTAGTAGGAGCGGCTCGTTGGTTGATAATCTGTATAAGGAGTTACACAAAGTCAAGTTGAAAAAGGATGATTAATTGATTAAACAAGACAAGTAGTACCAAGAAAAATTGATTTTTAAAAAGAAAGACCTTTATGCGATTTGCATTTGATGGTTCGAATACATAATCCCTCTTTCGATACCATCAAACTTTTCCGATACCATCAAACTTTTCATGTAATAAGTTCCATGATACTGAAATGTCGCTCCCTGCCCTACTATCAAGACCTGCATATAAGAAGTATGCATAGTTTCAACAAATCAGTCCTAACGTTTTAATTGGCGAGACAAGGAATAGTTCAAAACAAGCATAGAAATTGATAGAATAGCCAGAAGCACCACATTATGAGCCAAAAAACATAAAAGAAGCAAAGCATGCACACCAAGAATCCTCCAAACATTTACCTGATTAATGAATTTCTTGCTGATTTGAGGTGAAAGGAGGAAAGCATGAACCTGGAAAAAAGTAATATCATACATATAGATGTTCATGGATCACAAGAAACACACCAAACATGTCTAACAAAAATGCATAACTCTTCGTTTTTAGTAGTACCCGTGTGTACAAACTCAAGAGCCAGCAAACTAAGGTCAGAATTTTGAGGGTGAACAAATCTACAAGAAGGAAAGACACTCTTTTAAGAACAAACAACCTTAAGACACGCCTTGTAAGAACTACCTGCTTACAGTTACCATATTATCAATAGAAACTCTAGCATGCCTTCTTTGAAGAGAATTGAAAGCCATGGCTCAATCTTAGATCCTCCAATTCCCAACAATTGAAATTGAAAGGTAATGGTTGGTTTCGAAGGCACATCAAACCTTTGCACATCGGTGATCTTTCATGTAACTAAAGACTCCAGCATCATTTAACTGTAATACGAAATAGTTTCAGAACTGTAATATGACTGGAATTTCTCCGTGGTTTCTCCCGTAAACTGATATATTTCGAGTTGACACAGTGATATTGTAAAAGCATAAGCTGCTGTAGATCTGTACGGTTCCCGCTCAACGGAAACAAGAGAACGAAACCGCTTTCCTGTTCTTCTCTCAACATAATACTGCAAAGAACAATAGTAACGGGTTAAGTGCATATCACATGGAACGAAAAAGAAGCTACAAATAGAACCAAATCAGTAAAGTCCTCTTTATTCATTGGTCTAGTTAGCAAGAGTTTCACAAATCCCGACTCAAAAACCACCAAATTATCTCAGATATCCTTATCACATTCTTCTCTTTTCTGTTTAATCCCTTTCATTCCAACCGAACTAGGGTGTGAGTCATGCGAGTCAAAAACTTACATAGAGGGTCTGTCTGCAGAGACCCAAAAGAAGTAGCCAAGATAGGAAACTTGGTGATTCTTGTCTATTCTACTCTCAAAAGCTCTACAGAAAATACCTTATCAACATGATAAGAGTTTTTCCTCGGAGACTCCTGGACGGTCCATTCTGTAGGCAAACAAAAACTTTTGGAGGCATATTTTATGCTGCGAGAATTCTGCAAAACCATAACACACTGATTAAGTTTTGTAATCCAAGAAACATATGACATGTTTGTGCAATTTCAAATGTAGATCAAGAGACCTGTTTGGTTCTGGATCCTTCATAAAACCCTTGTCTTATCATTGAAGAAGGCTCCTCTTGCTCGAGTCAAGCGTCGGTCATCTACGTCCCCAGTCAAGTGTCTTTGAACAGATTCTAGAGATGGAAATTGTCTACCAGTCCCTGGCTCGATAGAATCGTGTCCTTGAACACGGATTATTGGAGAAATCAGCAGACTAAACCCGAGAGACTTTTCGGTTTGTCCAGCTAGTAAAGCCTTCTTGAAGAAATCCCCTGTCAATACCATAAGAAGTGGGCCTCTAAGCGAACAATGAATTACAATGTCTTGTGCATAAAATCTCTCGACGTGCAAGAAACCAATCTACGATTTGCCCACTACCGATTGTAATATGAACACCCCTCACAAATTCACCAGCATAAGAAAGTGTGCTGGGCATAAGATCACGCTGACCTCAATCAACCTAAGATGACAACACATAAGAGAGAACACCGGACCACACTAAGTTTCCAATGGTGCCTAGCATTCACATAAAGTTTGCAAACATTTCACAAACCCTATTCAGCAATGGTGTTTGACGACATGACAAGGTGCCTAGCATTCGCAAACCCTATTGAGCATTGGTGTTCGAAATCCTTAGTGAATCCATAGCTTAGCATTAAGATTCGAAGAAAAAAGCTCCATTTAACACAGCGCAGGATTCTCCAAACGACCACATTTCATCACAACTTTATGAAATTACCTCTTTGTCAAACATCTGGGTGATACTTGAGAGCAAGTTTACGGTAAGCCCTTTTTATATCTTGAGAAGTCACTGATGGAGACACACCAAGAACCTCGCAAGGAGACACTCTAGCTCTCGCTACCATGATTCAATTTCCCCGTCTTTGATCACAACTCCGTCGTTTACAGAACAATCGCCGCCATAGCAGCAACTTGTTACAGGAAACCCCAGAAAATTGAACCGATAAAGTAACGAAATTGGAGGAAGATGATGAGATTGAGAAAGGAGGGAACTTTGTTGTTGCATACATGATTGATTTTCTCTGGGTCATTGGATCGAGTCTCGCCGTTTTTGGGGGCAATCGAATACGGTTTAGGTTAAACCGCTCCTCTGATTTTCCGGTTATTTCTTACTGGTTTACACAGAAATTGGGTAAAGATTTTTCCCGCTCACTGGAATCTGTCATCGTTTTGGAGCTTTGTTCCACGAATTCAAGAGTGCCTGTTTAATGTAAAAACCTCAAGGAACTTGAGAGAGATTTTGCGGTAGAGATCAATAAGGATTTGATCTTAGAACACTATGTATATGCCTACCATCCAATAGTTACAACATGAACACAAGTTATTTCGAATTGCATCTTCATCAAAAGCTCAAACAGAGTATGATTTGAATAAGCAGTAGCAACTCAGGCCTGAATCCCTCGAAAGTTTTAAAAGAACAACAACGAGTTAAACCAAACCGGGATCCTCAGTGCAACAAACAAACAACAAGGATCAAGGATTCCTCACATCGATACGACAATGTTGAAACATAATAAAAATTCTACTCTTCTGCTCTTCGTAGATCTAGGACTACAAACCTAGTAAAGAGAGACGAACATAGTAAAAAGAGACCTCGGGGATGGATTAGGGTCACATGTTCTAATAACTTTCGTGGTTAAGCTCACATACAAGTATCCCTCCTCGTGTTTTCGCACTCCGTGACTCGATTTGCATTTCGCAACCAACTTTCCGCGAAGTCTCAACACTTCCACAATCAAAACAGCATGGTTTACAGCAGCCAAAAACGATTTTGGATTTGGGGACCCTCGTAGATATCGTCCTGTGTTGTGTTGAATTTACATTTGTTCGGTTCTTAAGAAAACAAAAAGATTAAACCTAATTAAAAATATGTTGAACTTACTGGTCCGAGGTTATCGTAGTCCGGATCATAAATTAGCAAGATTGCACCTACAGGTTGATGGTTAAGCATCTCAATCAATCCAAGAATGTTGCTACCAGTGCATGTTTTCCATGAAAAGCCGTACTGTTGAGGTTGGTATCTAAAAGGGATCGTGTCGTCTACGCAAGAGAAGTTGTTGTTGGCGTAGAATCAACTGGCAAGGTGATCCATGCGTCCCTCAAAAGCTTAGGTGGGAAGGTTTAGACTGCAGCAGCACGGACATGTCCATGCCACCAAGAATTACTACTTAGTAAGTCGAAAGTTTAGTTGTACAAACGCCCTCACACACTCTTCAAGGTTTGATAGTAATGTTGATCATTCATTATAAGATGTCATATGCTAATCTTGAGCATTCTAGCAACCTTATCAATCAAATCACTAGGCCAACTAGGCTATCTACAATGTCAAACGTATGAAAATATGATTTTCGCAGGTTAAATAAATATACAATTCAAAGTATTAGTTAAACACCTATGAACATATTTATGATCAACATTATCTAATATATTTTTGAGCAAAATGTAAAACAATCATTACTTTTGTTAAATTACCTTTGTCTTTATGTGAGCAACATTTGTGCAATAAAAGTTAGATTGTGATTTAATCTATCAGTTAAATTCAATTTAACAATCAAAGAACAAGATTGTTTCTACGATATCCACCAAGGCTTTATCAAAATCTTGGTGGCAAAAAACAAAATAAAACTTTTTCACTACTTCTTTTTATCTATTGAAATCTACGAATAATTTAGCCGTCGTGTGCCTCCGGCGATGAGCTTGAGTATGGGAGATATAGGGGCGGACGACGGTAAATTGCTGGACTCCACTGAAGCGGATATGGAGGA